TCCTGACAGCGTCTGGGCCCACGCACCCACCGCCCCTCACCGTCAGCTCTGTGGCCTTGGGCCCCTTCCCAACCTCTGTGAGTCTCCAAATGGGCAGAAGGAGGCAGCTTCCTTAGTCACCTTGGGGGTGAAATGAGCAGGGCACACACATCATAAGCTCTCGTGAAGGTAATTATCAGGTTAATAAAAGCATCCTGTGGCCCTGAGAAAGCACCTTTCAGAAGTAAGGGGAACCCCATCGATCCCCCCCACCCACTGGAAACATTTCACTATGAAAATATTTCACCACCACTGCCCCGCCCCCTCCTTCCACAGCCCCATCATGAAATCTGGCTAGTATTGTTCATCTTGATTCATAAAAATACAAGTTCTGCTTCGGGTTTGCAGGCCTTTGTTTTAAAGGCCTTTTTCCTGTCGTGCCCAGAACATTCTGCCACCCGAGCAGCCTGGTCCCTCAGCTGCAGCAGGGGTGGGCCTGGGAGTCTGTGGGAAGTGCCTGGTCTCGGCCCCACCCCGCACCTACCTGCTTAATCCGCAGCTGCCAGGTGGCAGGACCCCCAGGGGATTTGTATGCAGCCTCTGCATGTTAGCATCCCCAGCGTAGCTAGGGAGGCTGGCTTGGTCTCTGGGCCCCACCCCGGAAATTCTGATTCTAGGTCTGCAGTGGGCCCAACTGGCAGACACCATGGCTCATCTTATAGGTAGGAAATAAATACCCAAGGAGGATACAGTATTTCAGTCTGAAGAGGAGAGAGAAGGCTGCTGTAACAAACTTCATCATTTTTGCTGTTGAAAACAACAGAAGTTTATTTCTTGCTCACACTACACACCCACCCTGAGATGTTGGAGGGCTGAGCTCCACAGTCACCCTGGGACCCGACTTCACAGAGGCTCCCCCGTCTTGCGAATCTACCATCGGAGTGTGTCTCTCAACACCGCTGGGGAAGGAGAGCGAGGCGAGCCCACGTTGCTCTGCACTGTCTCCGGCGGAAGTAACACCTGCCACTTCCACTTCCTGCTGCCTTGGCCGGAACTGAGCCCGTGGCCCAGCCACGAGGGAGCCTGGAAAGTACCCGTGCTCCAGGAAGGAAAGGAGGACCCGACAGTGAACCCAAGCAACTCCCAGCAGATGGAGAGTCAAGATTCCCAGCAGGGTGAGGGTAGAGCAGGGTACATAGTCCTTAGCTCCTGTCTCCCTCTCTCCACCCGTCAGGCCCTTGCTTCTGCCCCCAAACCTCACGTGAGCCAGTCTCCCTGGATGTCTGAGTGACAGAAGGGATCATCCGTTCAGTCAGCACACACATCTGGAGAACCTCTGTGTCAGGCACTAGGCAGACATGGTCTCCAGCTCTGAGTTCACAGTCAAGTTAGGGAGACTGACACTAACAAAAATGGCAGAGAAATAATTATACAAGCTCAGTCGTGAGGAATGCTGTGAAAGGAAAGATCTGAGCCAGGAGACATGACCCAGTCGGGGTTCTGGGAGGCTTTTCCGAGCACATGGATCTAAACCAGTCCCAGAAGGAGGAAGAGGAGCCCAGGAGGAGAAGGTGGGGAGGGGATGGAGCACTGGAGGAGGAGGAGCCAGAGCATTAGGGGCTGAGACATCTCGGAAGGCGGGAGAGGAGAGGAGGCAGGACCTTGAATGCCAGGTTAACACCTGAATTCTGTCCTAAGTGCACTCACATGCTGTGAACAGGTTTTCAGCAGGGGAGTGACATTAAGTTAGATTTCTAGCTTTGTAATACTAACCGCTAATACATCTTGAACGACATGCACACGTTATTTTATTTAATCTTCACAGTTATCCCATGTGGTAGGGACTATTTGCTATTATCCCCATTTTCCAGATGGGCAAACTGCAGCTAAAAAAGATGAAAGAACTTGCCCAAGGTGGCGCTGCTGGATGAGGTGGAGCCAGAATGTAAACCTCCAGAGCCACAGACCTCACCCCCTCAGTGCAGAATGTCCCCTCCGGGAGCCACAGAGGGAGGGAACTAGGTGGGGCTCTTCTGCTCATCGCGACAGGAGGAGGCTGGAGTTCAGACAGTGGAGTGGGGAGGAGCAGAGGGATTCGAGATGAGCGATCTGTAATGCAAGAGACTGCCTGAGTGTGAGGGGCCGGAAAAGCCCGGGTTTCCATCTGAGGCCGCTGCCTGGAGGGCGCTGTCCTTACTGAGAACACAGAGGAGGCGCAGGTGTGGAAGAGCATCCCTGTAATTAGCACGATGCCTTCCCTGGCTTGGCACCTTGCAGATACCAAAACTCAGCCCGAAGAGGTCAAGTTCAGAGGTCAGCCAAGGGAGGGAGGTGGGAGATGGGCACAGGTTTGCCAGGCACCCAGCAAGCAGGAGGATGGGGGGCAGAGATTCTTGGCAGTGTTTGGGTAAAGGCCCTAAATTCCAGAAGCCACGGGGCCAGGCAGATAGCATGAGTGAAGCAGGCTTGGGTGGCAGACAGGACGCCAGGCAAACTGCAGATGCGTGCCCTGCCCAGAGGCACCGCCCCTCCTTGGCTCCTGCTGATGGCGGCCACTTGGATATGTGGGGGCAGGGCCAGGTCACGGTCCCAGCGATAATTAGGAGCCGAGCACATCACATGGTTGGACTCATGTAATCTTCACTACAACCCACGAGGCAGGTGCACTATTACTGCCCCCAGATCTTCCGATGTGTCGAGAGAGGCTGGGGATCCAAGTTAGGGGACGTTTTCAGAACTTTAAATCTGTGCTAAAAATTGTAAAAAAAAAAAAAAAAAAAAAAGGTGCTGTGAGACAAAGCATCCCAGCCATGAATGTGGCCTCTGGGTGACCAGTCTGCTTGGGGAATTGGGCCCCAGGCCAGGTGCTCAGAGTGCCCAATGGCCAGATCTAGACCCACCCAGGGGCAGGAGATGGACCTTCTGCGTCTTGGGGAAGAAGCACACCCGGAACTGGGGACAACAAAGCCGGCCCGCCTGCCTGCTCCGTGGGGCTCGGTGGGCGCGGGGCCTTGTGAGAGGCTTTGTCCAGCAAGTGGTAAGGGCCGGAGAGTTCTCCAGAAACTTTGTTTCTTTGGGAAATGTGATTGTAAGGAGTGTCTTACCAGCCCATAAATGGCACTTGCATGGGGTTTTAGCAGGGCATCTGGAAGGGTAAGAGCCAGGCTCTAAGCTCAGGTATCACTGGGGCCCCACTTGCTTGGCTGTGTTTTGTAGCCGTTAATTTCGCCCTGCCGGTCACCACCTGCCATTTTGCCAAGTTATCATTACTACCAGCTTTTTTTTGGTTTTTTTTTAAAAGGCATTGCTCATTTTAGAAAGCTGTCTGTCAGAACTGCTTAAAATAAAAACAGTCTTTGCACTTGGAGGAATAAGTTAATCTTGAAAGTCACTTGGGTAAGAATTTCTCAACACTGTTGGGTACATGAACTGTATTTGCAAGGAAGCCAGTACAGGTGTTTCTGGTGTGTGGCCTTTGATGAGTGGGCCCTTTGCAGTTTATTTCTTGATTCAGCAAATACGTATTGAGACCCTGCTAGGTGCCAGGTGGTATTCTAGGCCTTGGGGACACAGCATGAACCAGATGAGCGTGATCCCTGCCTACACAGACCTGACCTTCTAGTGGGGCTCACCAGCCCGGGCAGGCCATGGGAGCCCAGAGGGAGAGCGGGCGAGTCCGAGGGCCAGGGAGAGTGGAAGAGAGGGGGCGGGCAGACCCCCGGCCTGGTGGAGGAGAAGCACTTCACGTCCATGACCATTTCCCAGGGTGGAGGGGAAGCCGCAGCTGAGAGGGGGTTCTGTAAGCCAGGGAGCCCGCGGCCTCACTCTTGGGGGTGTGGCCTCTCTGGCCTTGGGTGTGGCCACAGCTGGGCTAGCTTCTGGATCGTTTGCAACTCCCCAGGCGAGGCCCGGACCCGCGCTGCTGATTCCCACCTGGTCGTTTTGCTGCTGAGGTCTGTCTGTCAGCCCGTCACAGTGTCCTGGTCGGGGCGGGAAAAACTGACAGGACAACACAGGCAGACCATGCTTAGTCTTGTTCTCAAAGTTGATCATTTTTATGTGGGGTTGTTTGTTTCATTTTGTCCTTTAACCGCAACATTTGTAATGGCAGGAGTCCCTAATGAAGACAGTCAAATAAAACTGTGAGTTTGAACACAACTATCACATTAGGTAGAATCTCTTAATTTGCTGATGGATGGCAGACATTAGCCATCAATGGTGTCATCGAATTTCAAAACTACAGGGGATCTCAGCCCAGCCCTTTGCTTTTCAGGAGAGACACTAAGACCCAGAGAGATGAAGCCACCAGACAGTGCCAGGGCCTAAACCCAGTGCCCCTTCCCTCTGGTCACCAGACACTGCTAGTACTTAAAGCAGTCGTGCCCTTGGCCCTGTTGAAGGAGCTAGGGGACAGTGGGTGTAGCCCACTGGGCACTGAAAAGAGACCTGGGCTCTTAGGGGGCTGGTCAGAGGGCCACACTGGGAGTGGCACAGCTTTTCAGAAAGGTAGGAACCTGAGACCCAAGGGAAGGATCATCAGAAATGGTCAGTCTCCATCACAAGCTATGCAGCTACAAATTATGAGACAGAATGGGAATTAAAGGGAGCAGAAAGACCAGTTACACGGGCTGGAAAAGCACTCCCGGGTAAAGATGTCGAACGTGGACAGTTGGCAGTAAGCCTCTGCGTTCATGTGTTTCTTGCAGGAATGCGGCTCTATGGTCCGCCCCCTCTTTACCTCTCCACTGCTCGTGCTCTCTGCTCTCTCAGGTGCTGCACCTGCCTGCGGTTGCTGGAAAGTTCCTCACTCCACTTGCCTCCAGGCCTGAATACCTGTGACCTGCCTACAGCACACCTCTTTCCCCTCCCCTGCCCCCAACTTCGCTAATTAATTTTCGACCTTCAGATTTTATCAGCTGTCCTTTCCTCCACGAGATGTCACATAAAAGGAGCACCTTCGTCTTGTCCTCTCTGTGCTGGTTCCCAGTGGCTCTAACCCCAGTCATTGTCCTTGGTTCTAGGTGACAGACCATGCCACCACTGCCCTCCTCCACTATCAGCTGCCCCAGATGCCTGATGTCGTGGTCCGGTCCTTCATGGTAAGTGGCTTTGAGAGCCAAGTCTCCCCCTTGGTCCTCGGCCCTTCGGGTGAGAACAGACAGCTCACAAGGTGGCTGGCTCGTCTTCATCTCACCGGGGCCTCATGGCAGGAGATGGCCCGGTTTGGAAATGATTCATCTTTTAAACTGGGGACAGGTCTAGGAGAAACCAGTTCCCTCTTAATTAACTGGTGTTTTCTGTCAGTGCTGAGCAAATGTGGGTGGTTTCAGAAGTGATTGTCTGACACAGTCCCCACCCTTGATTTAGTCACTGGGTGTTCATTGAGCTCCAGGCCCTGCGCTTGGCGCTGGGCAGGTGCAGTGACTAAGATGAATCCTGCCGTTCCTCCAAGACACCTACGCCTTGGCCTGGCAGTGTCAGAGCTCAGGAAGGAGACTGGCCCAGAAACAACCATTCCTGTGGTCTCTGGTTTGCTGGAGTCGGCTGCTGCCAGCTCTTGTTAAATGTCCAGGATTTCTCGAGCTGGTTGTTCAGCCACTGGTAGCTTGACATCGAACCGAAATACTTACATTGTGGAAATCAGTCCTACAGGTCAGGAACCCCCCTCCGCCCCCCCCGCCTCCCCCGAGCCACTTCATTAGCATGCGGCCGCCCAAATTTATCATGTGACCACAGGTTGGCCTGAGCAGGGCCAACATCTGTGTCCACCACGTCCCGACAGAACTGGCCAGCTGTTTGGACACCCCACTGACCTGGCTTTGTGCTCACACCAGTCGGCTCCGTTGTTCACTGCTGTTAAACCCCCTTTTAAACTCACGCTAGGAAGGCTGCCGTTAGAGAAGGCACTCAGGAGACAGAGCCGTCCGCAAGTCCGATCAGTGCTGGCAGCTGGGAGGCGGATCGCTCTTCCACTCCGTCTCCTCCCATTTGCCACCACAATTAAGCTTCTAGGAGCCTGCAGTTTATTTCTCAGAAAATACAGCCCAGCTCATTGATCAGTCCCACACTGGGGAGGCCGCCGAAGCAGACCCAGGTGCTCAGCGCAGCCGTCCACGCAGCGGTCCTCTCCTGTGTCGAGAGAACCATGTCAGGCGACTGTCTTTAGCGAGCACTTCCCTTTCATGTCGATAGAAAGACTCACTTTTAAACCTAACAGGTTGTGATGCCCAGTTTCCCTTTGGTAACTGACTCTGAGATCAAGAAGTAAAAATAGTTTAACTGAAGGATCCACTGACCTCCTCCTGTTTATTGCCGAAACCTCCAACACCAGCCTTCGGCAGGGGGACAGGATCGGGGGTCACTGTCGGCCTCCAGGAAGACAGCTCGGATGAAGATAGGATTTGTAGCAGTAAACTCGCCGACCTCTTCAAAGAACAATTTTCTCTGACCGGCGTAATTTAGGAGGACATTGAATGACGAGATTCACGTGCCCCCGTCACAGTGAGAACTTGCTTAACTCACTGCCTATTACCATGGGTTTGGGTCGACGAGCTCACACTCTCCTTGAGTTTGAGAATTGAGTTATGTGAGTCTCATCCTTATGTATGATGCCCGAGGGAACTCTGCACTCTGAACCACTCGAGGCTGTACTTGCTGCTTATTATGTTATTTGGTGGCACCAGGTCGGCCCCACCCTCCCCCCAGGTGCACTGGGCCACGTCGTGACAGTGAGTGGTGACCTCTGAAATCAGATTAGAAGGAAGGCACGTTGACCTTAGGAGAGAATTCTGAAATTGCCACCCACGCGCAGCCCCCTCCGCACGCGTCCACGCCCACCCCTGGGTGGTGACCCGGGAGAGGATCAGGGCTAACACCCAGGAGACGCGGGACTTGGGGGTGAAGTGTTACTTGCAGCCCCGGAGCCCCGAGGCTGCGCCTAGTTCACGGCCACTCCTCCGGGAGCGTGTCCTGCCTCTGAGAGGAGGGGTTTCTATTTTAAAGCTCCCTTCATTGGGAGGGGCCCGGGGCGCACCAGAACTGAAAACGAGCAGTGTTGTGACTTTGCGGATTCTGCGTGCAGCGTTTTGTAAAATCACAGGGTCCCTCCTGGGTTCTCTGCCCTCGAGATCATTAGACCTGACGGGAAGGATGACGTTGGAAGCCCCCGGATCCTGTTTCTTTCATTTCTCTCCTCACTTCTCTTTTTAGACCTGGTTAAGAAGTTACATAAAGCTGTTCCAGGCCCCATGCCAGCGCTGCGGGAAGTTTCTCCAAGATGGCCTTCCCCCCACGTGGAGGGACTTCCGAACCCTCGAAGCTTTCCACGACACCTGCCGGCAGTAACCCCCGCCCACAGACCCCCGTCCGGCACTGCCCTAGACAAGCCCTAAGTGATGCCGATGACTCAGACGTGTCTTCACAGCCCCGGCGTCACTCCCTCCCTCCTGCAAAACAGCATGCTGCACGTTGAGGCCAACTTGAAGAGCAGACCCCGTCTCTGCTGATGGAACTAATTAGATGCTTTAGCTGGAGAACGGAAGGCAGAGAAGACCTGCGAGGACTCAGTATCAGTGACACAGCGTGTTCTCCCCTGCATGTTAGTGAGGCGGTGAGCTGAATCCTGGGTCTGTCCATGTTCTAAGTTGTTTCATGGTTTGAATGAGCCCTTGTGTCATGCGGGCTTGTGTTTTGTTTTGTAACTTATTTTTATAAGCAATAAACCTTTTGTACCCAGGACAAGGCTTTGTCTTCTGTTTCTTAAAGCACCTTTGACGTGCAGCTCTGTGAACATGCGAGCAGATCTGGGCCTTTCGAGGAAGGCAGACTTAGTGATGTCTGTATTTGAAATGGTGCTTTTTGAGGACTCATTTCCCTGCTTCTTGCAGGAAAGAGGGCAGTGTTGGCAAATCTTCCATTTCAAAGATGTTTTGGCGGCTTTGAAAATTGTTCTTTTTGAGGGAAAAAGTACACAGATGTTTCATTTTACGAAACCAGGAATTCACGCACATGCCGAAGGGAAAGGAACCTGCCCAAGTGACCAGCGGGACACGTGTGAGCTGGGTGTGCCTGGCTTGCGTGTCCCGTGTTTTGCCCTAAATGTTAAGATGAACAGGTTCCAGCCCAGACTGCTGAGCTTATTCAGGGCCTTGACCCGCAGTTTGAAGCCACAACCTGTTCGTAGGAAGAAGCATTGACCTGCTGAAGGTCTTGTGAAGGATGGGAGAGTCCCCAGAGCTTTCCAGACCCAGCCTCCACTACAAGTAATGTTCTCTTTATAATGAATGATGCCAGAGAGATGCTGCCTTCTGAGAAGTCCCAAAGAATGGTGGCTCCTACCTGGGTTCTGGTCCTACACAGACCCTACACGCCGAACCCTACCGGGCTGAAAGAAGCCAGAAGATGAAGGCGATTTGGTGATGGGGAAGTGATGGACAGGACCACTCCAGGTGTGGTCCTGTAGCTGTGGTATCATGGGAGCTTCTCAGAAACACAGATCCTCACGCCCCACCTTGGACCAACTGAATCAGATGCTCTGGGAAGTGGGGTCCAGCAGTCTGGTTACTAACAAGCCCTGCAGGCGAGAACCTCAGCCCTGTCGAGGAGGCGGTCGTGCTCTCAGTGCCGTTTGGGCGGCAGGACGTAGGGCAGGAACGTCTCCAAACCGCAGCTGATTCGGGGCTTATCACATTTGAGTTGCCATCACTTGTAAGATGCGCCGTTATTTTATGAACCACTAAGAAAGAGAGACATGCTGCCAATTAAACTGTGGCGCAGGCTTTAATGATCATCCTATGTGACACATGAATCAGTCACACCAGCCTTTCATTGCTCTGAAATTCCTTTCATCTCTTCCAAGGGGGTTGGCTGTTTCTCCTGCCTCAAGTCATACTGTCTAACATGTGACAGGCGATCCCTTTCCGGGCTCCCGGTAACAGATCATAACACAGCTTCACTGACGTGCGGATATCTTCCTTTCTTTGGTCTTGTAAGACACTTGTTTGTTGCAAGAAAATCCAGAATTGAGGATAGTGGGTGTATGATGACATTTTGTCGCATTGCTGCCCATCTTTTGGAAGACAGTAAACGGCGAGTAGACTGACCCTAGGCAGGGCTTACAGGTACACACAGCTCATGCGAAGTGATGGCAGCATGACTGCTGTGAGCGACTTGGAGCACGTGCAGGTGACAGGTGCATCCTGACTGCCACTTGACTGACCGTGCACAGCAGAGACGTTCATAGGTGCAAAAACCAGGCCCCTGACAGCGCATGAAATTATGGTAACAGTAGGCCACACTGTGAGACAGCTTTTCGGGTTTTAGCAGCGTGAGTCCTCCCAACTGCAGCAAATCTGAGTCCTGGTTGGTACCAAGGGTCCTTCTGCGCCCCGCTGAGCTCCGTTTCCAGTGGAGAGAGGGCAGCCCCTGAGTCCAGAGCCTCGGGCAGGTAGTGATTCCTACTTAGAGTGAATGACGCCATTTCTGTGTCATCTTTAGTGATACCTACCATCTGTGGTGCGCATTTCCCACTTACAGGAGTGATCAAAAGTTTCTATTTTAAATGCACGTCCTTGGGTGAAAAAGTGAGGCCATTAAAGAAAAAGAGCAAGTAAATAATAGTACAGGTAGAGCGTGGCAGCAGCCACAAAGCGTGGAGGGGGTCGACACGCCGGGGTTGGGGGCGGGGGCTTGAGCTCTGGCCTCCTGCTCCAGGTGGAGGAGTCAGACGGGTGGCTCCTCCCTTGCGTGCATGGGCCCATCCCCTCTTCTGTGAGACGTACGGCTGATTGTCCAGTGACAGTGAGGCAGGAGAGTTGAAGGGGAGGGGGCTGAGGCTTTGGACGCAACAAGATTGGCCGTGAGTAGATCATTACTGAGGCCGGGCATTGGATATGTGGGTGACGCGTGCTGTTCTGTTTTTCTATTCGTTTGACTGCCCCTCATTAAAAGAGGAGAAGAAATACAAGGGTTGGACTATCAGCCTTTGGGGCAGCCCCACCTCTGACCTTCTCCTTCGTCGGTCCTGAGGGGAGAGAGCGGAAAGGCAGGGTACTGAGCTCTGGGAAGGTGAGAGGGGCTGGTTTGCCCGATCGCAGGATCCTTGGCACTTAAAAGACAAACAGAGAGCGGCCGGTGTGCCAGCCATTAAAATACAGAGAACATATTGACCTGAAGTGGGTAAAAATAGAGACTGGAGATGGACTGGGATCCATTCCAAGATGTGGATTGTGAGAAGCTGGGCCCCGCTGCTGCTGTGAGCCCCAGGTCGGGGACCATCCTTTGGTGCCCTTCACGGAAAGGAACAGAGCCATCCACAGGTGTGCCGGCCGAACGCTACAGAGACTGTCCCCGGGTGATCACTAGGCCGGAACTACGAGGTGCTTTCTGTGACTCAGTGACTCCCCTCACAGCTCAGCATCCACTCTGCTGGGCGCTCTCCCCGTGTCGTCCGATGTACTCCCGGGTGGGCTGGTGCGGCTGGAGGGCTCACACCGCAGTGCTCACACTGCCCTCCAGCTCTGTGGCTGCAGAAAAGCAAAAGCCTCCTCCCCAGAAGCAAAGGGACTGACAGTCCCAGCTCTGCCAGGCGTGTTGTGTCCAGGGTTGCCCGAGAAACGCTCTTGGCCCAAGCTTGGAAATCTCTGTCTTGCGGATGCTTCTCTGCCGGGATCAGCAGCGATGCGTCCATCGCGTCCTGCCTGCCGGCCAGGTTACTGTTGATCAGCAGGGCACCCGGCAGGAGCAGGCAGAATGGGACGAGGGGGCCGTGAAAGGTTGTCCAGATTTTTTTCCCTGCGCTAAACCGGGAGTTGGCCTTTTGGTATCGAGCAATGTTTTTACACTTCACACCACTGACGGAAGGCTGCAGGCACAAAATGGTGATCTTTCAGTGTTAATGCGCCAGCTCCCCATCGCATTTAGAGTGGCAGAGTGTGGGCCTGATGCTAAATCGAGAGCCTTTTAAGGTCGCCCGAGCTGGGAGGAGAAGGAACGGCGGCTTCAGCCACCAGGATTCTCGCAAGATCTGGACCCTCCGCCAATTTGACGGGAGGCAGGGTTGGGCCATCACATCTGCAGATAGAGGACAAAACGTGACGACCCACCTGGCTTGTCTGTGCCTCCCAGGGGCAGCATCCCCACTGGCATGCCGAAGACGCCTCTGACCGGAAGGAGGGGCCGCTTCACTCCACCTGCTCCCTGAGGATGCAGCCAGCCGGGCTGCTCCGACGCAGACAGCGCTCATTCAAGGCCACACGATATGCTCGGGAGATGAGCCTGGGCGACAGACAGGCCTGTCCTCCAGCTCTTCTGCTCCGGGAATAATTAGGCTTCACTGTCTAGGACAGGCGGGCTTCTCTCCCCAGTCTCCACCATCCTTCCCCCCTTCTCCTCCCCGCTCCAGCTCCTTAAATCAGTAGAAAGGAATCTCAAAAGATCACTCTCAAGTTGAATTTTTAAATTGCAAGTTGGCTGCTCCCTATTATTAGCACTTGAAGAGATAAACCTTAAAGTTCACAGGCACATCCCAGGTAGAGCATAGTCTTGGCAGCTTTGAGATCATTAGTTAGTAAGGCACAGCTTCAGCCCGTCTCGGTGCTAATTGAGTTTGAGATTTCAGCCGGAGATTGGCTGTCCTCGGGGACAGTGTGAGCGGTGGTTTGGTGCTGAGAAGGCCAGCCCTGCTGGCAGCAGGCTTCGTGTGCAGCGTGGTTCCCAAGCTTGGTAGAGACAAGAGTGAAGCAGCCCCCTGGGCAAGAAGGAACGGGAAGGGAGGGGAGCAGAGGGGCCGTGCCTGAGAGCCAGGCAGGCCGCCAGCAGGCTTTGCCAGCCCCCGTCCGCGGCGGGTGAGCTGGGCCGTAACTTACCGCACGTTACTCTGGTCTAACTCCTCTCTCCGTCCCAGGCTTGCTCTCCCCATTCCAAATGGAATACACATGTTCCTTTTATAGAAAATTAGGTAATGTGGGCAAGCAAAGGAAAGAAACAGTGTCCCTGATTCCCACCGGCAGGAGACTACTGCCAGAGCGCTTCAGAGAATCCCTTTCCGGGCCTCTCGCTGGGACGTGTTGGTGTGGACACGTTTTTTGGTAAGAGAATAAGATCATGCTGTGTGCCTGCTTTTTTTCCATTTAGTAAAGGCGGAGTTGCTCCAACAGCCCCAAAACTGTGGCTTAAAGAACAGAGACACTTATCTCTCTTCTGCTTCAGATCCGAGGGCTGCTCTGCTCCACGGGGTCCCTCAGGGATCCTGTTCCTCTGCCCTCTGGCGCCGCCACATGACCTGGGACGTGCTCCACATGATGGAAGCTGAGTCCCAGGCACCTGCCGAGTTTACAGAACTGGGAAAAGGCACGGGTGTTGTAGGATCAGACACAGCCCTGGTACACGTCAGTTCACTCGAACTTCATTAGCAAGAGCTTAGTCCCATGGCAGACCTGGCTGCAAGGGCTGCTGGGAACTGTGGTCTCTAACTGGGCCACTGCGGGTCCAGCGGAGACCCTCACTCTGGAAGGGAAGGGAGCGGCTTCCACCACACGACACGCCCTCCCGCGTCAGGAGCGTGCAGAGAGCTGCTGCCCTGGGGTCCTGTGTTACAGTGGCCGTCCCCTGTATGATGACCGTAACATAATCTCTCCTGGGCTTTTAGGTTTTTATTTGGGAAATAATTACAGATTCACAGGAAGTTGCAACAACGTGTATCAGCAGGTCCCACGTATCCTTCCCAGGCCTCCCCCGTT